ATGATCTTATGTACTGTTGACACTAAGCGCGTGGTACACTTGAAATCTTCACATTATAGAGCGGTTATCGTATCAGATAAAATTCATTTTCAGAGTAAATCGCTATTACGGTCAAAAACCTCGAGTACTTGAGAAATGTAGTGAAATTTGAAGAAATTATTAGAGAACCTGAAATTGTTATTAAACGTGTTAATGAAAAATTCTTAATAAAGTTTTTTCTGCTTCGGTAAGTATTTACGTAAATTGTACCTACGTACGATATCGTCCGCGATCACTAACGGGTATGTGTAACCTCTTCGCTAAAGTAAAAGGAAGAGAAGCGAAGAGAAACAAAGAAGAAAGAAGGAATGCGGCCGCTACCGCCTTTGCTGCCACTGCTGTCGCTATTGCTGCTGTCGCCTCGCTACTTATCGTTAGACGATACTAAAAGAAACAACCAGAAGAGAAAAGAAGAGTCTTCGACCGGCTTGTGATACTCTAGTGATGGCTACGAACACGAGCAATCGTCATTCAACATACTGAGAATACCAAAGCGAAACGAAGAAAGTATAAACACGCGAACCTCTGCTTTCAAGGAAGTCACGTTTCCTCTTCGTCCAGCTTTCTTCCCATCCACAAGCTAACGATACATACCACCTTCCCTATTGGATAGCTCACTCATATACGAGCAACATTTATTCAGTGAATATTTCTTATTTTTACAAACACATCACCGTTTAAGGTTATAAGCTTACTATTTCGTGTTAAGCGGTTACTAATTTATTTTTATTTGCGTTCACTAATTTTCAAGTGTAATAAATTAATGTTTGCGACAATGAACTATTTTCGAAAGAGAAAAATAATATCACGTAAATATTAACCGTAGTTACTAACTTCATTGGTTGAATTATTACCACGGAAAACATGGTGCTGAAGAGTCGAACGCGGGAGCGATCTGTAGGTTTATTTGATCGCGTACAGATGTCGTGCATATACTTTAAAAACAGCGAATAATCGGCGTAGGTATCGTTTATAATTCGTGCACTACGAAAAGTTGGTCGACAGAGAGTTACATTATTTGTTATATTTTAAGGCACTGTAAAGAAATAACTTTGTTACATGAATAAACGCAATTATACTTAAACAACAGTAAGAAAAAACCATTGAAAAAAATGAAAATTTAATAGACAAAGTAAGATAAAAATTTAAATATCGTTATATATTTGTTGAACAAAGAATTGAACATAAATTTGTCTTTAATATATACGTTGATATATTTATTAAAATAATAAGAAATATACTATTTACATTTGTTAATCTTTTGAATACTTATAAACAGGTTAGATCAAGTACAAGAAAGAAATTTCATGGCAAAGAAACAGTTATCAGCATTAAATTAAAATGAAGACACGAAGATCGGTGTAATTTGGTAACTTTTAGGAGCTTACTCATAAAGAGATCGGAAAAGAAATACGATTTCGAAAGAGACGAAAACAAATAACAATAATATTGTGTATCAGTATACACGGCAATGACCTATATTTAATATTAATAATCATAAAATTATTAATTAACTGTTTAAAAAGTTCAACATATACGAAAAGATATTAATTAAATGCAGTTCTTTTTTTACTCATTATTCAAATTTCTGGAAGAAAAGAAATATAAAAAAAAATTTGGAAACATATTTTTATTGTATTACGAGTTAATTTTTATATTTGAACTAGATATTCGAACTAAAAATAGGTTATATTTATATAATTATGCTCAACATAATTATATAGGTAACGCAACATATTTATAAATATATCTATACTCGATATAAATACTATTAGCAGTATGCATTCGATCCAGTTGAAGTATGAATTGTTTAGTGAACTGTGATGTGACACTAATCAATCTATTATATTTCGGAACGTGTGTGATTTCATACGTTTCCATTTGAAATGATTAAGCACAACGACCTAGTAGCAGAAGAAAACTAGACCTCGTGTCTGTCCAAGTTTTCGCTAGACAGTTTCGAAAGGACGCGCTTGACAACGAGTTCTATTCACGCCACTAGGTCACCGAGAAAACTTGCTACGTCGTGTTCGAAATAGATCTCTCGGACACGATTGCAATACGGTTGAGCCATCATGAACCATGCACTACGATGAACAACATTGTATACAGATTCCAGGTTCGTGTCACAATGAACACACGATGTTTACTCTTTCAAATTTTCCGCTAGTTTCCTTCGGTCACGTTTCACACTAGATGCCTCTCCCTATCTTACTAAGCTAGTTAAGTTACTTTTCCATATGTTACAATCCTGGTTGAAAGGGACGGTTACAACGTAGCAGAAGACTAGATGCGCACGTTCCATGCGTTCGTCTCCAGGCGCTGTATACCAGTGTACGAATACTTGTGTCAAACCGTATACTATATAGTCCGGTTTCCTAACCTATACTCCATTTAATCTGTTATTGACAACGCTTACGAACAACGCATTAAATAAACTGTCGTACGTTTTTCTGAATAATACGGTTTAGTTACTGCGCAAGCAGTATAATTTTCCAACGGAATTACACTCTAATGCTTTCCGACTATAACGTTGTACGCAATACTGAAAATACACGTGAGTCGGAACAAATATAAGGAACAAGAAACGCGTAAAACTGAAATTTAAGCACCGACTAGTAAAATATTATAGCAAATTGGAGAAAAAAAGAAAAGAATAAAATAAATTTCTTTGCATCAACAGGACTATATCCTCGTAGGAATGCGCGAGATCCGAGAGCTTTCGTAAAACCGGTTCTCGTCGTAAACGTCATTTGACACATTTCCTGTGAAACAGTATAGACGACTCGAATGCATATATACTTTAAGTAATGTTATTTTCAAATAAACGCAAAGTAAGAGAGAAACTAAGTTTTTAATCTGACGATAAAAAATCTGTACCCGCGTTTATTTTTTTAGAATTATTAAGATAAGACTATTAATCGTAAAAATGTTGAAAATCGCTTTTTTCACGCAAGAATCACGTACTGTGAAGTAGTTATCTGTTATTTGCGAACGCGAACAGAAGTTACCATGACAAATACAGCATAAGTATAGTAGAGAGGTTCGATTAGACGAGTTTGTCTTTTATAGCAGAAAGGATCGTAGCCATTAAGAGTAACTAGTAGTTTACAAAGGTAAAGTTACTTTTAGCGAATATTAATCATCGCTCGTGTAAAGTGAGTACCAGTATCGAAAATTTTATTTTACTTGTAATATTATAAAAATAAATACATACACATTTCAACTATAAATATACACAAGGTTTGTTTCCATGAGTAATAACGTGCTCTTTATATGATGTTTGTCCTTCCAAGATCTAAATGCTTACATTAAGTATAATCTTAGTTCTGAGTCACAATGGAAAAATCATTTCAGAATTTCTTGTGTATTAGATCATTACATGAAATTCATTAGAACATATTCTATGGGAAAAATACTAAACATGATCCAAAGTATTTGATCAAATTATTTTATGTATCGCGTTCGTTTATGTTCAGTTTTTAAATAAAATATATTAATTTATTGGAAGGTTTAACAATAACTTAACAAATTTAAAGAATATATATATTCTTAAACTAGTCAACAATCAAAGACTTTTATTTTAATAATTTCATTCATCCTGATATATATACTATATACTACAGGTACTATAGAAACCAGGAGTCATATTTTTTTAAATCGAGTCTTTATAATTAAAAAGAAATCTGAGATACAACATATTATATATAGTCTTAATATATTAAAAATAATTGAAATTTTAATCGATAATTTTTTAAAATATGCACTTTTTAACTATATATATGTACACAATCAACTGAAAAAATTGATACATTCATAAGATGAAACAAGTACGACAAAATGGTGTATATTAAGTCATAATAGACTTTAGAAACACGTCAGTAAGAAGCAAAGACTGTAAAAAATTCATGATTCACGTGCAAACTCAATACGTCTAAAAATTTAAATTATCTATTCTAATTTGTAAATCTTTTTTCCGACGGTATATAATTTTCGAACAATATATACACGCGCGATATTAATTTAATACATATGCATATTAGGGTATATTAAACGAACGATTCACTCGGATTCACATAAAGTTTCACGAGAGAGGTTTCTTGTCGAAGAAAACTGAAAGCACCGTAAACGTAGCGCGAGTCCGCATGTGTGCATGTACGCGCGCACAAGACTGTCCAAAAATAGAGAGTGAAAAACTATTCTGGAGAATAGTTGATAGGAGTGAAGGAGATTACTGAGAACGCACATATTAACGAATAAGAGAAACGCGTAAAACACGAGGCTGCAACGTGTACCACGAGTTTTTCATAATATTTCTCAGTCACTGTACTGAACACTTGGTACACTTGATTTCACTGACAGTCCCCCCTCCCCGGATTCAGTATCTTGTTTCCTTAGTGGTACGTGATAATTGTGGGCCAGGCTGGCTGAGTAGGCTATTGAATCGAATTGTGTCAAGATTAGTGGAATCGATGAGTTATATGGATCGTAAGTCACATGAAATTGTAAGTTACTCTGGTCGACTTACATTGAATAAGTTAATTTCCTGTTCTTCTCGCTCCGACGTAGAAAATTGGAAAAATAAAGTGAACGGCAGGCTCGAAGACACGAAGAGCAGACCGGGACGCGTAACACGTGACACACGATCGAGATACGATGTTTGCGAGCAGTTCGTTGCCGATTATGGCAAACTACGAGGCAACAAGAACCGGTCTCTCATGGCATGAGCAGCGTTCCTCGACGTTACGTATTTTTTTCGCGTGCGCGAATGCCGTAGCGAAATCCGTAAGATCTCGGAAACTATGGCGAAAGTTTCACAGGCATGTAGAACATGCTTGGACCGAACTCCAAGTATGAATCGCTGTGGGCGTTAATCATGCAAACCAAAGTAAGGCGTGTCGCGAGTGAAATGATGCATTACCAAAGGTACAGAAGATATTAGTGGATTAATGGTTGCTTACCTTCGTCTAGTAGGCGCTCTACATGTATGAAGACATTAGGGAAAGCAGCTAACTGCTTTCGATCTTTTAGTAACTGTGACAGGTAGTCCGCTATACTCTGCGTCGTCGTGTTAGTATTATCACACATCGCAATTACTTGATTACTCCTATGGCGGTCACGCGAAAATAGAAAAAGATACAAAAACAAAAAGGTATTGCAAAGAGAGGGAAACGGAAAGAAAAAGTGAACGTTAAACGTAAACGAGCAAGAGACAGACGACGTTGCGATTAAGATCCAAAACAGCAGTCCTTTCACGTTTGGTTTTGCACAACGTTAACGCTGATTTTTCCGTTATTCACTATTATATCACTTTGCTTTCTTATTTTTCTCGCACAATTATCTCGTAATTAATACAACTCGCTGTTCGTACGTCGCGCCTCCTCACTCGTGGTTTCTCTGGCGCGCTCCTCGCATACGTCGCCACGATTGCGTTACGTTTTTAGAAATAGCGGAGTCAGTATACTATGTGTAAGGAGGAGAAGGAGGAGGAGGAG